CATCATGCCTGAATATTTTACATATAACTTTATTGTTTTCATACTGTTTGAATTTTAATAACAGTATGAAAACAATAAAGTGCATGTTGGTGATTCCAATATTCCAATTTTGCCGTTTTCAATACACGTTTTCGACCATTTTGTTTTTGTATTGTTATTTAATTTTTGATGAAAATTCCACATATTTCATTATTTAGTTTTGGAAAAGAATTTTCCTTACATGCCTTAATTTTAGTTTAATTATTGCTTGAAGGATTAAAGTTTTTCGTTGTTTTCAAGCAACAGCGAAGTTTCTGTGAGATTCTAATAAGTTATGAGGAAAAAATGAGATACTTTCAAAAAGTTAAAATCATAAATAGTTGGCATTTTCGTACAATGTTTGAAGCAAATTTTAAAACTGTCAATTTTAATTTTAATATTTAATATTCTCTAATCTGACAACAACTATTCATTCAATTTTTTCTTTTTTTGCAAAAGCTTTATTTTAGCTTAAATTCTAAAGGATTCAACTAATCCCTATTTATTAACTTCCAGTAAAAGTCTTTAATTAATAATATATTAAATTATTAGAAATAAATTGTGAAAACGATTAAACATCAAAAAGTATAGTTTTATCTTGATAATATCTCAACTAATATTGTATGTAGCAAATTATTATTACGCTATCTTCTTTAAAATTTTTAAGTAATTACTTATAAAACAACTGAGATGTGATTAAATAACAGATTTTAAAGTAGCAAACTGTTTAATTTTCATTTAAATAATGAATAAATAAATTAATTTTATTAAATATTCAACCTTTTTTATAGCTCAATTTCAGAAATAAACAAAAAAATAAATATTCAATATAAAATAACATTTGAATTTTATTACGAAATGTTTTGGAAAAAATAATAATGAGTTTTAATTTACTAATAATTGCACTAAATAAATGAATCAGTGAGTAAGTAAGTAAGTATTACCTTGGAGCTAATCTCCGAGTATGCCTAGTCTGCTTAAGTTGTTGAGCTTGTCGAGCACAGTTAGCTAATATGTCTGCTGTGGCGTAATCACTTAATGGTAACAAATTTAGTGTTAGTGAAGATGAAATGGCAGAAGCATCAAAAGACTGAAATTTAGTTGATGATGAAGGAATAGCGAAAGGTTGAAGAAAATTTTCAGAAGACGTAGCAGAAGGAGCAGCTACATCGGTTGCACCACTTATTGTACCTGCGCCATTCATCGACGGTAAAAACAAATCACCCAACCACCAGTTACTACCTCCTGCGATCGCTGAGAGAAAATGTAAGCCTAAATTCAATTATTAAATAAAATTTAATCTTACTCCAGCATAACATAGTAATTCATTATTAAAATATTATAGTTTGCTATATTTAATTCAAAAAATCTGTAATTAAATCAAACCATGC